GAATATCCTGTATAAAAAATAAATATGACGATTAATTTGAAAATGAAAAAAAAAAAAAATCTAAAGTAGGTACCTGTAGCTGATAAATTTTGTGTTATCCTTTTTTTTCGTAATCTATTTTAACATTGAGATATGAATAATATTAATTCGGAATATAATACTTATTATTTTTGGAAAGGTTTTTGAAGGTCATGCTTTGACTCATTGTTATATCGGTGTATAGGATTGGCTATGGTGTGGCAATATAAAATTGTGGAGTTACATACGTATTTTACTCGATATTGAATTTTTTCGATGTAATGCGAAATATTTGAGATATTTACTATACTTGTTAACTTATGTAATGACTAATGACAATTAAGGACCGTATGTAGATATGTTACATTGTAAGTATTAGACATAATTTTAGGGACAAATTAAAAAAATTCTGTTCCAATAATCATGATGGTATAAAGATTTAAAGTTTGGATGTAGCCAATTTTGCAACAAAAATATGGAAGTGGCTGATTTTAAAACAAATTACAAGCATACAACATTTTGTTGTCATTTAAGTTCTAAAAAAAAGAAAAATAAAAATTTTAAACAAATTTAAAAAAAATTAAATGAATTGGGTTCTGGTATACAGTGTGTTCGAAATTGGTGATGCATGTATTGCGATCTCAGAAAATCTTAGATATAGAAAAACGGGGGAAAATTTTAGATAATTCTGTTTACAATTCAATGCCGTTTAGTTTGAGATTTTTTCTCTTTTGGTTTTTGAGATATTTTGAAAAAACTAAAATGACGCATTTCCGAAAATACCCGGTATTTTCTTTATTTATGAAAATTTCTAAAATCTGTAGAAACTTTCTTAGAGCAACTTTTTACGTAGAAAACGCATATGTCGTCAGATTTTATTTGCAACGTTTAGGTTTCTTGGAACCATCATCAACTTTGTTTTTTCATATGGGCGCCATATTGGATTTTTACTGTTTTGAAAAGGCCCTTTTTTACTTTCCTAACGATGTATTACACTAAAAGTTAGGTTGTATATTAAAAAACCAAAAATTATTATTTTGTTTTTAATTTGGCAACGTCGCCCTATAAAACACTAACAAGGAGATCCTATTACATTTAATCTCTAAACTGCAATGTTGCAAAATGAAATAGTGCCGGAAATTAAGGAAGTTGTTCCAGATAACGAGTTCCATAACGTATGGTTTTAACATGACGGCTGCCCCGCCCATAATTCCAGGGAAGTACAAACTTTTTTATCTGACACATTTGGTGAAAAAATAATACCCAACAGTGGCTCGGTGCGGTGGCTTGCAAGGTCTCCAGACCTCACCCCATTAGACTTTTACTTGTGGAGACATGTTAAAAATGAAATTTATGAATTTGATCCCCCAGAAAGCAAAGAAGTCCTCGAGCAGCGTACGCGGGATGTTTTGTTGAATGTTAACCGTAACACTTCAACTCCTCAATGCAATCCAAAATTGTATAATTAAAACCAGCATTAAATAAAAAAATATAATAAAAAAGTGCTTTGTATATGAACATTGTATTATCTGTCTTGCTGTACCTTCATTTATGGAAAGCCTGAATTGAGATACATTACAAATTATTTGCAATAAATATCAAAAGAAGCATACAAACATTTTTAAATAATTTAACATTTAAGAGCCATTCACACATCACAGTTGACATCTTGATACTTGACAGGCACAGCCAAGCATTATTTTAATTTTTGCCAAATAAAATGGCCGGTTAATTATTATATCCGGTTGCAACAGAGAGACGGTTAATTATTATATCGGGTTGCAACAGAGAGCCAGTAAATTTGATGAAGGTGTTTTTGTGGCTAAGGGCGAAATAGTAGTAAGTTAGCACCACCATAAAAAAGTTATTTTAAGAAACTGCTTATATATTTTTAATAAATTGGCAGGCTTGGCGACTAATTTCGAATAAAAATAGCCTCCAAAATGGCTATGTTTGCATTATGAAGGTCGCAACCCGACTTAGAAATCTCATTTTTACAATCAACAGCTGTTGTCTGACAGGTCGTTGGATAATGTTTGCAATGAATGGAATTTAAAGAATGTTAGACGTTAGAAATAATTGGAATTCCTAAAATTAGTCATATAAGAAATGCATAGGTATATTTTAAGAAAACTGATATTAAAGTAGTTCGGATGAACTGAAAATTCTGAAAATCAATAGGGTTTTAAGTTAGAAGTAATTATTCAAGAAAATCAAAACCGCAAGTCAATCAGAACTTTCGTTCTAGAGTTATCGTGCCGGCACAGACGACCAGACGAACATTTCTTTTTGCATTTTCGGAAACATGAAAAAAAGTTTTAAAAACTGGGGGATAGAAAATTTTTGCGTCTGCACGAATGCAATACTTAGGCCCCATAGGAAGGGCCTCAGTAATAAAAGTGTTTTTGTTTTTTTTTTAACAATCCAACGCATTTACACCCAAAACACAAATTTTGAAAAATCTCACGTGATATTAGGGGAGGGGGGATGTAGTTGAGGAAAATCTTAAGAAATCTTACCAGGGGGGGAGAGGGGGTCAAAAAATCCTCAAAAATACCTCACGTTATTAATGGACGCCCCCTTAAGTGTGGCGACGTTGCCAAATTAAAAACAATATCATAATTTTTGGTTTTGTAAACCATAACCTAACTTTTTTTTACTAAGTGCCATATATTGTTAGGAAGGTAAAAAAGGGGCTTTTCAAAACAGTAAAAATCCAATATGGCGCCCATATGAAAAAACAAAGTTGATGATGGTTCCAAGAAACCAAAAAGTTGCAAATAAAATCTGACAACCAGGCGTTTTCTACGTAAAAAGTTGCTCCAAGAAAGTTTTTACAGATTTCAGAAATTTTCGTAAATAAAGAAAATACAGGGTATTTTCGGAAATGTATCATTTTAGTTTTTTCAAAATATCTCAAAAACAAAAAAAAATCTTAAACTAAATGGCATTGAATTATAAACAGAATTGTCTAAAACTTTTTCCATTCAACTGTTTTTTCTATCTCTAACAGTTTCGGAGATCGCAATATGTGCATCACCAATTTCGGACACACTGTACATATAAATATTGGGTTGTGGTATTTCTTTGGGAATATCACAAATATCTTCTTCAGCTAATTTCTGAGAACATTTAATTGTTGGTTAATTCAGTAATTTTGATGAGGCCGCTTTTGAAACAGACTTTACGTTGAAAATTGCCGGTTTTGCAATTCATCACCATACTTGAGTGCATATTTTAGTTTAAATCAAACCATGTATTAAAACATTTTTTTGGAAATTTTTCGATGTAGCTGATATTGCAAGTAGGCGACTTAGGTAAATGTACAAAAATATAAAATAACGTAGGATTTTTGTAATAGGGAGATCCAGGGACTTTAGTCACTATTCTTACCTATATCCCTAAAATCCAAAGAAAAACAAATTTAACCTCCGTTTGTGCTCCATCAGGAACTTTGATTATCACATATCGTCGGGTTACTGCCAAAACAGGATAAGTACATTTTTTCATTTTTACTTTCCTATCTGTATACAGATATATAAAAGTTACTTACAATATTATTTTAAATATTTCTTGTTTTATACAAAATTTTCCTTAAATTCGAGAAATTTGACAAAATGTAAAAAAATATTTTTTTTATAAAAATTGTTAAAATAAAAGTTGTTTGTAATATAATTTTCTATGATTTTTATCCTATATATAATTTCTCTAAAATAGACCGTATTCGAGATATTTGAGAAAATGTGTAAATTTCGAATTTTGAAGAAAACTCAAAAACGGATAAAGGAAAAAACATCAAATTTAAGTTTTATTTCGGCCTGACGTGAAATGATTAGATTTTGGACAAAGTCGGAACATATGGGGGGGGGGGGGGGTTCTTTATGGGAGGACGTTTTTATATTTTATGAAATATATCTGTTATTTATGTTTGGAGAAGAAAGAAAATTGTTCAAATAAAAGTTACTTCTAATATTATTATCTATAAATTTTGCTTCATGTCAAATTTTCCTGAAATAGTCCGTATTCGAGAAATTTGACAAAATGTGCAAAATTCTGATTTTTAATAAAATTGTTAAACTAAAAGTTGTTTGCGATATCGATCTCTATAATTTTTGCTTTTTTATGATTTTTCTAAAATGGGCCGTAATAGAAAAATTGGAGGAAAAGTGCTAAATTTAAATTTTTCAGTATTTTCGTTTTCAATATTTAGTTTATCCTCTAAACATTTATAGATGGGCTACAATAGGTTGTACAAAATAACCGAAAAAAGCCTATAAAAACTAGATAGGAAAGTCATGTGTTGGACACATCAAATTTTTGAGTTAAGTGTATGTATAACATTAAAATTGTCTAAACTATGTACTGACAGAACCAGATAATTGTATTAAACGCCGGTATACGTTGATACGCATGTGCATTTAAAAGACTAAATGCATTACAAGAATTATATTGACAGCTAAAACAAGACAAGTGCATTTATGTTAGGTTTAAAAATTATTTTAATTTTACTTTGTGTATAAAGAAATACATGTTTTGGGTAAAGGCCGTCCTTTAAATGCAAACGAAATTAAAATCACAAAAGCGTACAAAAGATGTAGGGCCATTTCGGTTAAGGAAAAACAAGACCTACTGAAATTGTGTCAAAGTGATGTTATTCCTGTAGAATAAGTACCATCAAAGATTCTGATATAGAAGAACTTCCTTTAGAAGAGCAGGATAAATAAAACAAAAACAGGTACTTATATATCCAAAAGAAGATTTAAATTTAAAATAATGCTAATTGAAGTGTTACATATTATAACTATTATTCTTAACATGGTTTAATATTAAAATAGAATTCTAATAAAGACTCAAGTATAAATGAACTGAAGAATTGCATTTAGTACAAACATAAATACTTTATGTTGAAAAATAATGCAATGGTTACTAATAAATCTAATAATTAGTTTTAAACAACATAAAAAACATAAATAAAAACATACCATAAAAATCACATTGGCTGCGAACATAAGCAATTTCACAATTCCTTCTGCACAACCCATGGTGCACATAATTACTTATTTTTTGGATTTCTATATACAAAAACGACACAAAACCGTACCAAGTGTGTACTGTTGTATATTATCTTACTCAAATAACGTAGGTAAGATAAACGTATGTCTATATATGTATGATTCAACTAGGTTTACTTCATAATATAGATAAGAACATTTAGATATTAGTCGGGTTTACTCAGTTGTGGGAAATAGGCCTGTAAAATACATTTTTGAGTAATTGGAAAAATATGTACAAGAAATGATTAGTTTAAAATTGGCGGTAGAGTGGGTAATTGTTTATTGCCAGATGAATCATCTGTTTACAGAGTTGGAATTGGAATTGTATTTTAAATATATTCTCTTTTTTAGGATCATGATTGCAATATAACGCACCTCCGGAACACTGGCGGCTCGTGGAAATTTAAAATGGATCTTCACTTTTTCCAATAGTTTTATTATTTGTAAGTTTGTATTAAGTGCAGTTATTATTATTAACATTATACTGTTTTCAAGCACTAAAACTTTTAATAAATGAATATTTTAGTTAGTGTAATATTTTAATATTTGTTTTGTTTTTAATACGTTAAAAACCATCTATTAACATTATTAGTTAGTAAACTGACTTTTCTTTATAATTTGAGATTATTTATATATATCAGGTTATGTAGAAAGCTTGATATTGATTTTTGTGTTAAAAATATTATATGAAACTTTACCTACCATTTTTCAGTTTTTATTGTAAGTTTAATAATTTTCAAATTTGGTCACAGATGTCAAACAAAAAATATATTTTTTAAATACCTTTTATTGGCAAATAAAATAAGAACTAAAATTTTTAAAATGTTTATTTTATAAGATCACTTCAATCACAATACATAATTTTACACAGGTACAAACTAGAATAAAGATATATAATGCCTGGCATTTTAATGATACTTTTTGCAGTTTAACAGACCCCCTTAACCCCCATTTTTAACGAGATTATTTTCACAATCAATAGGCCTCATCTCCTTATAGAGCTTGATTTTGACTAAAAATTTCATGTTGATATCGCTTTTTATTTTTGATTTTTATTTTTAATTTCAACCATCCTTAAATCCCCCATATTTAATCAGATTTTTTTATAATTAAAGAGATTCTTCTCTTTATAGAGCTTGATGTTTTCGTTTTTCAGTTAGTATTTTTTTTTTAATTTTTTAACCCCCCTTAACTCCCCAATATATTCACATTTTTTTCAGTATCAATAGGCTTTATCTTCTTATAAAGCTTCATATTTACTAAACATTTCATGTTGATATCGCTTTTCGTTTTTAATTTAGGATTTTTTTTTTTAATTTCAACCCATCTTAACCCCCTATTTTTAAGCAGATTTGTTCCCTTATAGAGCTTGATTTTTGCTTAAAAATTTCAAGTTGATATAATTTCTCAGACAAAAAACGGGACATCGGACAGACGGACAAAGTAAACCTATAATATTTTTTACAGAATACTGTGTGAATAGTAGAAGAAAAATGTATAAGGTAAAATAAACAGTTTAAAAATGTCAACAATAATATTCAATTTCTTTTATCAAAGGATACGAAAAGTTTGAAATAGCAGCCATAATTAAACATTTACAGAAATCTGTGAACTAAAACATCGTAAAATGTTCACACTTAATTCTCCATATGACCCTTTCTAAGTGTATTTCACAGCACATTCCAAAGTATTCTTGCTCTCGCTACTGTCCTATCCTCATGGCAGACTTTTGTATGTACATGTTTACTAAAAAATAATGTGTTTTAATAAATACCAGAATAATAGTATTTTGTCTAAATAGGTAAATCGGCTTCATCTGCATTTTCAAATTATTGTTTAATTGTAGATAGTATATTGTTTTGATATGTACTTATAGGATTGATTAGCCAGAGCATGTAGATATGTGCTATGTGACTTGTTAAATGCCTAATCAAAATCACAATTTATGTTTGATACTTATTGCTCTTTTCGAGACATATTTTATTACCAACTGTAAACTAATTTACCAACAGCCTTATTTTCATTTAATACTTGCAGTGATTCCAATTACTATACCATCTAATATTTTTGAAAATACTAAATTATACAAAGCCAATAAAAAATGTCACTAAAATAAAAGATTTCTGGTTTGTATGCAACAAACGATCTAGGTTAGTGGGTTACACGATTGATAATTACAGGTAAATGTAACTTTATATAGGTAAACTATTTAATGTACATACCATTTCTAAGGTAAAATTTCTCATCGAGTATATTAAATTAACTGGTTGATCCATTTTTCCGATGCAGACTTTTAAGGTGAAAAACCATTTGTCTCTTTATCTTTATCAAACTTTTATTGTACATTTCCATTTCCATAATGATGTCAAGTAGTTACCTTATCAGAATAATAAAATTTTTCCTTTTAGCGGGTTTTGTGGGAAACAAAAAATTTACAATTTTTTTGCTTACTTCTTACTTCATAGTATTTACAATTGGGTACAAAATAAACCATTTTGAAGTAGTCTTTGGATGGTCTTAGACACTGAAACAAAATATAAAATAAATTAGATTCGTAAAACTTTATCATAGTTAAATAAAATAACAACTTTAAAAACACTTTAATTTACCTTGCCTTAAAAAAGTTTTTCGGGAACAATCGTTGAATTTCAATTTATTACTGTCACAGTTCTTAATTAAAAACATTTTTTAAATGAGCACAAATAAAATAATCATAATTTTTTTATAGCGTTTAATAGTAGAGGAATGATGGAAGACGGAATGACAGTTTGTTTGATTTGGTACAGTGTTGCCAGAATGTTTTTCAATGTCCAGTCAAAGTGGCTGTTATGTAGCCGACAGCTATATCGTAGCTGGCAGTCAAAGTCCCTGTTACCGTTGAAACATGGATGGAACTGTTTATCATCACAAATTTAACTGCTAGCTACGTAGTCTAATAGTTTTTGTTTATTCTTAGACAGGTTGGCATTTCTGCTAATTTATTAAATGGTTTTTATTGGATAATTTAAATTTCCCGCTTTACATATCGTGTCTTGCATAGATTACTAATGTGAATAGATGGGAAACTCAATGGTAAAATTCTGAGTCGATGTGCTGCCATCTATCAAAATGGAGTAGTACTAAAATTCAATATGGCCGCCACGAGCGGGCTTTTTGAAATTTAACTTTGTAGTAGCGCAAAAATGTAATGAAGAAAATCAAATAAAGCAAAAAAATTGGAAAAATATTTGACTAGTTTCAAATCATAAATCAACCATATTGACTGTTTTGTGATTTAAAACCAGTCAAATATTTTGCCAATTTATATCTTTATTTGATTTTACTTCATTATATTTTTGCATTAATTTCAAACTTGAAATAAAATGCAATTTATTATTTTTTTTATTACAGTAAATTATCGCCGCATCATATAACTTGTCTCTTTAAACATGGAAATACTTAAACAAATATGCATTTACACCATTTAAATAATTAAATAGTTATAAAACAAACCTATCAAAAATGTTTTTTGTAACAAAATCAGTATATATAAGTGCTCAAGATCTTTATAAAAGTTTTGCGACTTGGAGTGGCAAATAAGTTTGAAAAAATTGAAGTGAAGCATCATCCTTTTCTACTATCGAGGCAAATTTGAGTGTGGATAAAATTTGCCATACGGTTATTGAGTCGACTAGTTAGGTTGAGGAGCATTTCTTCATCCGATAATTGTTTTCGTGATTCATTTATACAGCACTTGTAGTCATCAAATTTTTATTCATTATGTGGTCACCCTGATAAATGAATTTAACTTTTGAGTATAAATTAAACTTACACACGTTTGGACCCTTGACGATTTTAGGGTGTTTTCTTGTTTGATGTAAATGGCATTGAATCAATTTTTGATATTGATGGCTGAGGCTCAAATATTTCATCGATCGACAGGGTATTTTAAAGGGCCAACATTTTCTTTACAACAATGATCATTTAAAAACTGAAAGCAAAAAAAAATTTAAATAACAAACCAATTATTTTAACACTGAATCAAAAACAAGTTTGTAAATATTACTTACCATTGATGCCAGTACATTTGATACAGTACATTTTTCTTAAGACACTTATTACAAATTGTTTGGTTATCCTTAATATGACGACCGCATATTTAATACGTGGTATAAATTGCATCACTACCAATATCTGGGAGTGCTTTATTGTTTGCTGCTGAAATCCATCTTTCCATCGTTTGAAAACATGCTTAAAATTGGAAGGTGCAGAAAAATAAATCAAAATTCAATACACCTTCAAATACAATAACCAATAGCCATTTTAATTTCTCAAAGTTTGAAGTTTTGACGAGCTGAAAACTGACATGACATTTCGATACGAGCGCCATCCCGTTAATTGGAGTGGTACTAAATAACCAACCTCATGTTTTTCCATTTGAGTTACCAGCCCCTGGTGTCTTGTGTTGATCGTCTCCGACCTTCACATAAAAATTGTTTTATTTTGCTTTCATTTTTCTTTAAGACAGTTGTTATATTCTGTTTTTGGGCAATTGGTGATTTAGAAAAAAGAGAAAATACCTAATTACGCTACCATTGAAATTTGCTTATCTTACAGAATGTAAAAAAAAACAGAAAATGCAATATCACGGAAACGAAATGAGAAGACTGCAGAAAAATATAAAATTTAATCAAAATTCAGTTCATCGATATCGAAATAATTAGGCCGTTCCCTTACAATACACGGATTACACGGTCATCACTGATTCATATTCAATAATTTAAATAATTTATTCTTTGGCATCATCATTGTAAATGTATTCAAAGAAATCCATTTTTGAGAAATAATATTAATAAAAATATTAACCTCTGAAGGACCTCGCCCTTTTCTAATGGCAAAGTGGCGTTCCGTCAAATGTAATAAATTTTGAATATGATGTTGTACTCGACTTGTTGACCAAAAGTGTTCATGGGATCAATTCAATTCTATGACTAGTTTTTAAAATACAGGGTGTTAAAGTCAAGAAATCGTATTTCTTGAAACTACGTAACTTAATAAAAAATCTGATGTGTCCAACACATGACTTTCCTATCTAGTTATGATAGGCTTTTTCCGGTTATTTTGTATAACCTACTGCAGCACCTCTATAAATGTTTAGAGGATAAACTAAATATATACATTTTCCCCATACATCTAACTCGAAAAATTTTTCTACAGATATTCACTGAAAAGGA